TTAGCATTAAAAAAAGAATTAGAAACAAATATCTTTTCTAAATTATTTGGAGTATCAACCACTTTTTAGAATCAACTATACTAAAATTTATATATTTATAGGGTTTTTATAAAAGAACTATAGAACAACAGGTATATAGTATTTTTTTTTTTCTTTTTTTTTTGTTTTTTTAACAATTTGACATTTTTAAATATGTTAATAGCTATAAGCAAGAAGATATGCGGAAATATTGTAAAAAGCGGGTATTAAAAATGATGAATTATCAAAAAAAATAAAGCAATATAATGATGATAAAATAAAAATAGTCATACCACCAGAACATCTTGAAATTTGGGATACACACCACATTTTGGTTATTCATAATGAGGTTTATTTTTATACTAATGATAATAATTCATCTTTTTGGATAGAAGACAATAAATCTATTATCAAGAAAAAAGGACAAGGATCTTTAGTTATAGTTAGCAACTTCTTGTATGTATGCTATAGCTCTCTATATCTTTTAGAAGCTGATGCTATATGATTTGAACTAGACCGAGAAGCTCGCATTATTATAAAACCAGAACAAGCTAATAGTTATTGGAAAAGTGAAAATATAGTTAGACAACTTTATAAAAAAGCGATTCCAATTTTTAATATTCTTCATTCAGAATACATAGGCACTGTTTATATTCGTTTTTTACTGTTTTTTTATTTTATTTTATTTTTTTTTTTATTAATTGCTTTTTTTTTTTTTGTTGAAGATGTATTTTGCTTTGATCAAAGTACTAACCATAATGCATATACGCTTGATATGCTTGTGTATTCCAGGATAACTCTTTACCCAAAAGTTAAAAATGAATTTAAATTTAAAGATAGTTAGTTTATTTGTGATCATAAAAGAATTACACAGCCCATGTTTTTTTTTTAGATAAAAATTAAAGTATTATAAAATTTAAAGGAATTAAAAAAGTATACAAAAGCTGTTATTAATAAAATTTTGTTTAATAAATCTGCCAGAATTTTATTTAAATTTTATTAACAATAACTATATCTTTTTTTTTTCTTAAATTTTTTTTTTTTAACTTTTTTTTTTGCTATATTAGATTTTGGAAGAGCAAGTCTTATAGACTGGTCAAAAATTAGATTGCAAAAGAAAGGAAGACCACAATCAAAGTAATTAAAAAGTTTTGCATTATAAAAATTTATAATTAATATATACTATACTTGCATTTATTTAATTTAGTTTTAAATTGTTGTGCAAGACATACACTTATGAAAGAACCAGATTTTTTGAAATAAAAAACTTCGATTGCAAAGACTGTTGAAGTAGCAGAACATATTTTTGAGCTATATCCAAAGTTTTATTGCGAATACAACTTCATTGAACATTTCTGGGGTGCTTCCAAAAGAATTGCTTATCAACAATGTGATTATTTTTATGCACAACTACAGATCTGTATATCACAAATACTCAACAACATACCATTACCTATGATTAGACAATTCAGCCAGAAGGCTTGGAGATATATTGAAGCATATACAACAGATTTAGAAGAAGAAAATGCAAAA